TTTTCTCAAATAGGCCTATACATTGAATATAAAAGAAGAAGGTTGATTTAAGAATAGCAAGTAAGAATTTAGAAAATATGGAGAATTTATTTGGTTGTTTTCATAATGTTGATGATTCTTTTTGACAATTCTCTGGTAAGGACATGGAGATGGTTCCAGTGCAGAATTAAACTTGAAATAGAAGAAGAAAAGGGAATCTTTGTTAAAGACACTGGAACAAGGAATGTAATATTTATGCACAGAATCAATATCAAAAAGAGTAATACAAATGCAGAAGGATGTGTACCAGTGTTTTATAGATTATGCAAAAGTGTTTGATGAATTACATCATAAAGAAACATTGGAACTGCAAGGCAAGCTTGATCAATTTGGGACAGATATTAGAATAATCTAGAATTTATACTGGCTGCAAACCACCTGCCTGTAGATAGAAACTAAATTCAATAAATAGATAAAAATAGTAAAAAGTTTAAAACAAGGATGTGTTTTCTCACCGAGCTTATCCAACCTATACAGGGAAAGAATTCTGAGAGAATTAGAAGTCCTACCAGGATTCATTATTGATGGCCACATTTGTACCAACATGATATGCATATAACACAGTGTTGATAGCAGACAGAGAAAGGAAACTACAAAAACTCCTACAGAAAGTAATGAAGGAAAGCAAGAATCAATTGCAAGAAGATAAAATGCATGGTTTTTAGCAATAAGAAATGCAAACCCTGCAAATTACATATTGGAGATACATTAATCAGACAAGTACAACAATTTAAATATCTGGGAATTCTTTTAACAGAGGAAAGTGCAACAGTGCATTAAGATAATGAAAGATGCCTTTCAAAAGTTAAGCAGAGTATTAAGAAATAGAAAAATATTGTTAAAAATTAAAGAGTACCAAACTGTTATGCAATATCAGTCCTCCTATATGGCAGTGAATGTAGTATGATGTCCTTACAGATGAAGAAAAACTAGAAACAACAGAAATGTAATCCTACAGAAGGATACTGAGGATATCATGGGCTGAATATGTGAGCACAGATGAAATTTTAGAGATAATGGAAACAAAAAGAACACTTATACTTGACATCAGAAAGCGAGTGATGAAATACCTAACACACATAATGAGGAAACAGGGTTTGGATAAATTTTATACTTATAGGAGAGATTAAAGTCAAGAGGGTTTGAAGGAAAGCAATGCATAACCTACCTAACAAGCTTGAGTAAATGGATTGTGGAACAAGGTTTAGGAGAGTTAAGAAAAACACAAAATTTATTAAGAGCTACAAAGGACTGGAAATTGTAGAGAGCCATGATTGCCAATGTCCCGAAGTGACTCAGTGCACAGAAGATATTACAGTATATATTAAGACCCAGTTTTGAAAGCTTTATTTTGTTCTCTAAGAAAAACTCTTCTTTAATAAATCTCAATAAACTCATAATTTTATATTAAAAAATCTATATTTATTCATTTTGGGCAATATAAAAAATATTGGCATGAGAGACAAGTAAATGGGCAGCCAGTTATTAAATATATTTTATATAAGGTATATTTGTACACAAAATAAAAAATATATATTGTATACTATGTTAGACTGGCTATTATATAACTCATGATATTCTGGTCAGGACCAATGAGATATTGACTGTGGTGGGACATCATTAATTATTGTTGTGGAGATGAACACATCTCTCCAGAAGAGGACGTGGACTTGTCCAAATACATATAGACTGATGCTGAGAATCATCAGGAAAAGGAGAAAAAGTAGAGAGAGATCTAGTTTATCTGCCTAGTATCAATTTTAGCAAGACTACATTGACTCCAAACGACATACTACTTCTTGCTTGTGTTATTTTCACTTGATGCAATAAAGACATAACAATTATACATAGTTTTTAAAATCTCTTTTCGTAACATTCATAAAATCAGTTATTTTTTTGTGATTTTACTAGAAAAAATTGTTTAGATAATTTTATTATGCAAATATTGACTTGCCTAATAAAATTTGTTAACGTGAATAAAAATATCAGCTGCTATAATTTTTTGAATATCTTAATTGGGAATGAAAATTACTATCGTCTTTAATTTGTAGATATAAATTGGAAATATTATGTGGGAAATAGTCAATTTGATTAGAGGTAGTTTTGGAAATGTTACAGGGTAGATACAGTTGTTATGATCCAGAATAATGATGATATTTCATCATTCTAAAAATAACCTTGCCATCAGTGATGATAGAAAATAAGGATATGTCATCATCCCTGAAATAAAGATAAAAAATTTCATCATCCTAAAAACAATCTTGCCAGAAGTGATGAAAGATGAGAAAGATATTTCATCATTCTAAAATCTGATTATAAAAACGACCCTTCCACCACAAGCAATGGCAATCAGTGGAGTAGGCTCAGAATAGAATAGAGTAACAAGAGGCAGCAGAAGTAGTAAAAATGCCCAACACATATGTATCCGCATCCCACCCTGAAAATCAAAAACTGACAATCTCAAATGTTATCCTCACCAACAAAATTCTCAGAATAAGCAAAAACAAGTAAGGCCAAACTTTTAAAGAATCAAAAGAGACAGTAACACTGAGAACATTTTTAGCACACACCATACCAATATCTGTAATTCACATCATGAAAAAGAAAAATTAACATTCTTGTTTTTAATGTCAACATTTGTCTCAAGTCTTATTGCTGTTATATCATTGTATAATTTTTATTCATTTCATTTTCAATATAAAAAAAATAAAAAGGATTCCTCTATCAACTACTACTACAAATAAATATAACAATGGGGTAACTCACATTACACATATCCAATATACTACCCCATCCTTTCTTAACCATAGGTTGCTGCATGTGTTCAATTTGATTAGGGAATAGCAATGATGTCTAACATAAATAAGTTTTGCTCCCCACAAAACGAGTCAGCAGCTTGCCTAAAGCCTAAAACTATTCAAATTTTAAGTATCATGGGAGTAGAAGCTAACTTAATTTGCTCATAAAAGATCTGAAATATATTATTTTAGTAAATTTATTTTCTCAAATAGGCCTATACATTGAATATAAAAGAAGAAGGTTGATTTAAGAATAGCAAGTAAGAATTTAGAAAATATGGAGAATTTATTTGGTTGTTTTCATAATGTTGATGATTCTCTTTGACAATTCTCTGGTAAGGACATGGAGATGGTTCCAGTACAGAATTAAACTTGAAATAGAAGAAGAAAAGGGAATCTTTGTTAAAGACACTGGAACAAGGAATGTAATATTTATGCACAGAATCAATATGAAAAAGAGTAATACAAATGCAGAAGGATGTGTACCAGTGTTTTATAGATTATGCAAAAGTGTTTGATGAATTACATCATAAAGAAACATTGGAACTGCAAGGCAAGCTTGATCAATTTGGGACAGATATTAGAATAATCTAGAATTTATACTGGCTGCAAACCACCTGCCTGTAGATAGAAACTAAATTCAGTAAATAGGTAAAAATAAAAAAATAAGTATAAAACAGGGATGTGTTTTCCCACCAAGCTTATCCAATCTATATAGTTAAGTGAGAATTTGATAATGTAAGTGAGTAAATTATAAGATACTATAATTTTTTGAATAACTTAATTAGGAATGAAAATGACTACAGTCTTTAACTTTTAGATGTTTCTTTATCATTCCAACAGTATTTTGTTTTTCTGAATACATTCATCTTTTCCTTGTTTTATTAACCTATATTAGTAGATAAACTCTAAGTCTCCTTTTTGATGGTTGGTAGAGAAAGAGAAGGCTGACAGAAAAGAGAAATGACGGTAAATATATTAACCAACTCAACCTATTATGCCATACATTATGACATCACTTGAACTATTGTGTCAAGACAAAAGTTAAAAAAGAATGAGATCAATAATTCAAAACAAATCTTGGAATGATAATGAATCATCTAAAAATTATAGAAGCTCTCTCTGTATACCTGATGATGACCGGAGGAGAGATTGATTGAAACACTGTAGTAACACCTAAAACAACAAACATAGGATCAATAATCAAAAACAATTTTGAATGATGATAATTTATCTCAAAATATACCTGAGGAATACCAGAAAATGGATTAACCAAAACATTATGCCAAGAGTAAAAGCAGTAGAAAGAAAGAATACAAAAGTTTGAACAACTCTTAAAAAGAAGATCAATCCAATTTGTCAAAATTCAATTTGTAACAATAAATAAGTTACTAACAAAAAAAGAATACTTGCAATTGGTTTTGGCCACTAAGCTGAAAATTATTTTTGCTTCAAAATTCAACAGAATTTTCTCTTTTTTTAATTATGCATAAATTAACTCAAAGAAGCTGAGAAATTCATTTGACATGACTATTAAAATGAATCATTGAAAACGAAACAGACAGGGAATTAAAAAAAACATAGCTTTCAATATCTAATTCAATAAATCTTGTGAATCCAGTCTAAGTGTCATATTCTAGATGTGGGCCTAGATTATAAAGTAACTAGGCATCATAGATATAAAATTTAGGTTATTCACTGGCACCTATAACAGAAATAGCAATAAGAAAATGAAGAAAGACATTATTCTATAAGAGCAGTAGGAGAGTTTTCTCAAAGTCAATTTTAAGAAATACAAGGAGCCTACAAAAGAAACATAGATTATTTGCAGAACAGAAAATATGGATAATCACATGAAAGTTAGACTTGAATGCAGACCAAGGGCCTGTGCAAGTATTCAAGGATTTGTAAGGCAGATTCTTAAGTATCATTTGACCTTGCATAAAATGTCAGACATTGAAAGCTCTGTTTATGTTTTCTTTATTATTCTGAGTCATTTTTTTAATTATTAATTAGCTGAATAAGTCATTGAACACATAACAGAATAACAGGGCTTATACTTCAGTCACTGATTACCAAATTTACTTTTAAAACAAGTTAATGGCCATTGAAATATTTGGAGCAGAATTTCAGGTCAAGAAAATGTTTGCTTTACAAAGGCTCATGTCTCACTGTCTCTCACACTATCTTTCTCTCTCTCTCTTTTTTACTGCTTCTCTCCCTCTCTCTTGTTCTCTCTATCCCCATCTGTCACTTATTCTACAAAAGTGTGTAGAGGCAGATATCTGCATTGCAAAGGTTCATCTCTCTCTCTCTCTCTCTCTCTCTCTCTCTCTCTCTCTCTCATGTATTCTAAAAAAGTGTGTAAAGGCATATATCTGCACTGCAAAGGTTCATATCATGTCACTGTCTCTCACTCTCTCTCTCTCTCTCTCTCTCTCTATCCCCATAGGTCACTTATTCTACAAAAGTGTGTAGAGGCATATATCTGCATGACAAAGATTAATCCTCTCTCTCTCTCTCTCTCTCTCTCTCTCTCTCTCTCTCTCTCTCTCTCTCTCTCTCTCTCATATTTCATGTATTCTAAAAAAGTTTGTAAAGGCATATATCTGCACTGCAAAGGTTCATCACTCATGTCTCTCTGTCTCTCTGTCTCTCACACTCTCTTTCTCTCTCTCTTTCTCTCTCTTTCTCTCTCTTGTTCTCTCTGTCCCCATCTGTCACTTATTCTACAAAAGTATTTAGAGGCATATATCTGCTTTACAAAGGTTAATCTTTCTTTCTCATCTTCCATATGTCTCTCTGTCTCTCACACTCTCTTTCTCTCTCTCTCTCTCTCTCTCTCTCTCTCTCTCTCTCTCTCTCTTGTTCTCTCTGTCCCCATCTGTCACTGTATACAAAAGTGTATAGAGGCATATATCTGCATTGCAAAGTTTCATCTCTCTCTCTCTCTCTCTCTCTCTCTTGCTCACCTATTCTAAATACATGTGTATGTATATATATATATATATATATATATATATATATATATATGAACATATACTTGTATATGTACATATGCAACAATATATGTGCATTGCAAAGGTAATTTTTCCCTCTACTATTCTCCTTTCACCTCTTCCTCACTCTCTCTTTCTAAAAACGTATGTATACATGAGGAGGCTGAAAAGTTCTTGGCCTGACCAACTATCTAAAATCAGACCAAATGACTAAACATAAATCGTACAGGCACCTGACATGATGTTTCCTATAAATGACTAAATCTGCAAAAAATAGTAATTCATATGTACTAAGAATTTTCAAATTTTTCATAAGGAAACCAACTCTAAATATTCAGAATGTTATTAAATTTTTATACTTTCTAACTCAATATATATTAGTCAATTGGAATATGTTTTCTGTTCATGCTTTCATTTTTAATTGAGAAGGAAAAGCTCAAATTAATAAAGTAATTATCTGATCACTCAGAATTTGATGGCCTTTAGCACATTTGCATTGATTCCTTTTTTTTTAATACTTTCAAAATGCTATTATTATTAAAGTCTTCTGTTACATCTGTGACTTATTTCGCTTATATTTTACTTCTGTGAAATATATTTTATAAAGGTGATTTCTTTTGATACCTCAACTTCAATGAATTTAAGCACAGTACTAGATTGGCAGCTAGGTCTCATCATTTTACTGTTGAAATAGATATAACAGTAGGGCCTCTTTAATAGCAAGCTGTTTCTGGTAATGTGATTTATATAGAATTTTAGTATTTATTAATTCCTTACTCCTACAAAACGGAAAAACGGAAGGATGCTGGAAAAATTAAATAAAAAATGAATTAAATCTTCCTTGTCTGCCATATTTAATGATGCTGGAAAAATTAAATAAAAAATGAATTAAATCTTCCTTGTCTGCCATATTTAATGAAATATATATATATATATATATATATATATATATATATATATATATAATATATATATATTGTGTGTGTATCTGTGTCTGTGCATTTGTATTATATGAACATAAACAAAGTATGCATGCATGTGTGTATAAGTATGTATGTGTGTAAACTCTTCAAGGACTTTTTGAAAGAGTTCCTTCCAGCTTCTCATATTCTTCTTCTATGAAGCATGCCCCTTCAGAGCATAGCCAATCATGGCTCTCGAAATCTTTGTGTCCTTTGTAGTTCTTATTAAGTTTTGTCTTTTTGTTATTTCACGCAAACCCTGTTTCACCATCCATTTGCTCAAAGTCATCAAGTATGTAGCACACATCTTTCCTCTGTCCTTCTTTCACTCAATCTATCATGTGAGGATCAGATTTTCCAAGCCCTCCTTCCTCATTACATGCCCCAGAAATTTCAATGCCTCTTCCTGATGTTAAGTATCAGTTTCCTTTTCGTTTCCACTTTCTCCCAAACCTTGTCATTTCACACATGTTTGATCCATGGTATCCTCAGCATCTTTCTGTAGAACCACTTTTCTATTCCTTCATGTATCTTTGAGGAGATTGTCTAGTATTTGCTGCCATATAAGAGGACAGAGATTCTAAAAGTGAAACTGTTGCTTGTGAGCAAAATATTGAAACATAAAATTCATGAAGTTACTAAGATCTTCCAAGAACATACAATGATTTCAGCAAATTTCAAATATGCAGTTAGGAAAGTAAAAATCATTGATCCAGCAATCCAGCAATTTGCATATGATGAATGTGGCAGAGTATGTCTCTCCAACGCAAGCTTTGTTAGAACCAAGAGTCATATTGGTAAGCCTTTGATAAATTACAATTACTATTCTGAGAATAAATTAACATGTGGGGTATGTTAGAAGATCTGAAAAAAATGCACTGGTCTCACCCATCATGTGAAAACACAACCTGAACAGAATTTACAAAAAAAGACAGGCCTTGTACAGAACAATTTAGTTTGCTGTAATAAGCATTGCAAATCACTTGCTGATTCAAGAGTCATTTTTATTCTCACAAGAAGTAAATCCTTGTATCAAACTTGTCAGTGGTAATCATATTTGTTTAATGAGTTAAGAGTCATCATATATAATAAATAATAAATAAAAATTTAATTATAAAGCTAACCCCTTATGATTAATACCCTAATAATACTTAAGATACCACCAAATTATATAAGAACACAAAATAATGACCAAGTGAAGAAACATATAAATATTTACTTTATTATTTAAGCATTAAAATTAATTATTTATGTAAAAAAAAATGAAATACAGTTTCAAGAAAAGACAAGAACGGTCAAAAATGAACAATGAAAACTGGAAGTCAACTGATAAAAATTGAAAGAATAAAGGGGAAAAAAAGAAGAAAAGAAAGATTAAGGAGAAAGCATAAAGTAAAAAGAAAAAAACAATGAAAAGGACAACTAATCACAACACCCTACATGTATGCAAATACATGAAGGCAGGTGCATGGACACACACATGCAAACAGACACACATCAGTCAGTCAGTTATGTGCCATGCGTGATACACACTTAGGCGATCATCTATCTTTTGATACATAACTGACGAGACAGATTTTTTCCTGCAGTAGGTTACAATTTCTTTCTGTGGAAGACCAGTTGCCATCCAGATCTATAGGATTTAGTCTGTCCTGTCATTTACCCATAGCTGGGGATGGGAGAAGAGGATTCATACCTTTCCCAAGGGTATTAGCACGTAAGTGAATGTAATGGATTCGAATGGAATTTGAACTTGGCTCTCTGATTCTTCAATCTGAGCCACTATCCATTACTCCACCATGCCACACATACAGACACACATACACTATGAAAAAGAAAACTTTCACCAATGAAAAGTGCATCTAAAAAAGAAAAATAGAAAAGTATAAGCAGTCAAATTTATGATGTCCCTTGATGAGTGAATGGAGTAATTCCTTGAGGGTCTATCTACGAAACTCTGGAGTTGGGATGCTGAAGCTAATACCAATCATCTAAGTGACAACCTTTTACTTCCATTAATTATATATATATATATATATATATATATATATATATATATATATGGGGGTGTATGTATGTGTGGGGGTGTAGGTAAATAGATAGATGGGTTTTATCTACTGGATCTAACTGGATATTATGACAGCAAATTTTCTTTCTGATATATTTCAATAAATATCAGTCAGATTAGGAATATTTGTCATCCATCCAAATCTCTAGTGAATTATGTCTCTTTACTGTGCCATCCATCTTCTTCAGAATCTGTGAAAATTTCTATCAGGAGCTGGAATTACGTAGTTGAAAAGGAACAAAAGTTTCATTTGTTAGTCTTCGTTTGAAGAAATATTTGAGGCATTATTTTAATTTCTCACAAGCGAAGTACTCCAGGCACATCTGTTGAGTATTCAATGAAGACCATAACCTTTGTCAAACAACTGTTATATTTTGAAAGTTTTTCTCCCTAAAAGAAATAAATAAACAAATAAATAAGCAAGCCAAAAAATCCTTATATTTTAAGAATAATTTTTATTAATATTTCTTTTAAGTTTGATCCTCACTAAGGGTTCTATAAGCTTTTACCAGACTATGCTAAACTGCATAAATACCTTAGCCTTGTGTTCAGGCCTATGTAAAACCTACTATTTTGAATGCTTATTTTCAAGGCACTAATAAAATTAATGCAATACAGTCTTTCTTTTTGATTTTTCTGTTGTACTAATGACAAATGTATACCCAATTTTCAAGAATGTGGATGAGCACTCATCCCCTTTAAGCATAGACATATCAGTCTCCTCAGTGTCATTAGCAAGCTTTTTAAGGTTATAATCAGCAAGAATGTTGTTGATCACCTAAATAGAAACAAGCAACAAGCAGTATATGTTTTAATCAGTCCAATCCACTGATGATGTCCTAACTACCATTAATCACAGAATCAGTGAGGCACTAGACAACAAATATATCTCAAGGACTATAGCATTAGATATTTAAAAGGCCTTTAACAAAGTTTAGCAAAAAAGTATATCCACACAAGCTGGAGCTCATATATATGACCCATCACTAAAGATGATGAAAAAACAGTCAGTTTCCTGTACCAGTCCAGTAAGTAACTGACTCCTTGTGCTATCCCCTGTCTTTACAAGAGTGAGATTGGGACTTAATTTGGAATACTACTGCCATATATGGGCAGGAGCTGCCCAGTCTTCATTTTCCAGTTTCAATAGAATCCAAAAGCATATCCATATCTTTCTCACATCACAGTCCTTTTGCTGCTCTATCACTATTTCCATGGAAAGTACTCAGATGAACTACAATCCTTAGTTCTACCAGTTGTAACTTTCATGGCTATGACCCAGTATGCCATACACATTATAGTGAACCATCCTCATTACCTTTGTTTTCTTATGATGAGAAGTAAGGTCCACTTTAGTAGCTTCTTCCTCCCAACCACTACTCTGTTTTCCTGTTCACTAAAATTTTAACCTGTTCAAGTCTTGGGTTAACCATTAATTTCCCCATAAACTGTGCTTCTTATTCTGTATTCTACCTCAAGTGGCCACAGAACCTTATACAGGGTGAACATCACTTTTTTTAAAAAAAGCACTCTGCCATATAATGTTGCCTTCTGAATGAATAAAAGATACATTGTGTTATAAAGTCACTTCTGAAGTGGGGGCAAAGATACATTGACCAATCACAGCTTTCATGTCTTTTCTTAAAGAGATAGTTTTTCATAAATAAATGACACTGAAAATTCAAGTGTTATCAGCCAATAATTGTTGATGTGAAATCAGACAAGTGTCTAATGCAATTTCTTCTTGTTTACTATAATCTTAGTAATTTAGCTGTTTCATAGATGTGCAATTATCATTATTATACATTGATCTATATGTGAGTAGTGTAATAGATATTGGCAAGTAAATAAAAATGGAATCAGTGCGCCAAGTTTAAATTCTGGCAAAGTCAGTTAATTCATTTTTGCACACATGCTCTTCAGAAAGGCATGAATCTGTCTCTTCTCCTCCA